ATGACAACTACTATGGCAGACGACTTCGGACTAGGTGCGTTCTACATAGTCTCCCTGAAAACAGGACCAAGTTGCGACAACGAGATCGACCCACTTCTTTTAAAAATTAGAGATTTACTTGAAATGGGATAGGGGAATAGGGTTATGCATACAATGAAATCAGCCAAATAGAAATCAGAATAAAAGTTGTAATTAATTAAATCAGAGTTATTCACCATCAACAGGAGTGGCAAGTGTAGGATGTTGATCGTGCAAAGTAGACGCCTCTCCTTTTTCATAGATTTTAACTGGTAGCTGACTAAAAGCGACGAGATCAAGTGGACATGCCCAAGATTCAGATGTGCAGGCAATCAACGATAGCCGAGAAAGACGCGGAGAGTTGGCTAATAGGTAGACAAGGAAAGTTCGCCAAGCTGAGACTAGACGACTCTGATTACAGCCTACTGAGATCAGTGGTATTTGCTCAGCATAGAGTGGTAGTAACGGTTGGACAGGAAGACTGTCTAGGCAAGCTGGAGGATTGGCCTGTGGAAAAGCAGGCATTTCGACGGAGAGAAAAATGGAGTTGTAGGAGATGTTGAGATGCTGAAGACGTGGTAGACAGCAGGTGTTTTGAGTGCTCACACTAATTAGCAACGTAGAAATAATAATAATTTTAATAATAGGGCAAGTATGTATTTAAGATGGCAAAAGGGCTAGCAATTTAATGAAAACTAAAAAATTATAAAATGCACAATTTTGAAATTCTCATCTCTCTTACGCCGTACATGTTCATATATAATTAACTAAACAGATAAAGTAAATGCGCTGGCTGAAAATTTGCAAATAATCTTGGGTATGCCTCCCGACCTTATTTTCTATTTCCCAACCCAAATCCAACTACTTTATGGTATAACTTACCAAGTCCCTGATTAAAGTATATGTAAATATAAATCTATGTCGAGAGGAAGAATGAGATTTAATTGCTGATTATACACACTTTCTGAGTCAGTGGAATAGCTAAAGACAGGTAAAATGAGGTATTTTAAAACATATTTTTAAGTTCAGGCTTGCTCATCAACGCTAATCGGCATATTTTCTCGGGAGGATTGTCCACAACATAGAAAAATAAGAGGCCTATAAGAAAGTCTCCGAGTAGATAATCTAGAGCCAGAATCAATGTATTAGAGTAAGCAAAATATTCCTGCAATCATAATTTGATGATGAAATTAAGTCAGTGACAGACAATAGAAATAAAAGAGTATATCATTATAATGTTATGAAATAATAAATATATAAGAACTTAGTCACCATAGGTAGCATAAGGTGATTTAAAGGCTCAAAATTAAGTTATAGTAGATTATATGAATGAGCTTCCTGATGCCAGTGAAGGTTACTTAGCCTTGCCTACCAAAAAGTGTTCTCATCCAAAAAGCTCTATTGAGAGGAAAGGGTAATTCCATAACATAGAAGAGCTAAATGGTATTGTGGAAAAAATTCCATTATCAGCTCTAAATTCACCTTCTGAGAGCTAGGCTGACTAAGTTTGTAATCAAGAATTAATAACTACTAATATAAAGAACATATCAATTTAGATCTAAAAATGATATTTTGCATTGTACAACAAATAAGTGCAACGACGTTAATATAACAATAAGATTGCATAAAAGTGAAGATCGGTAAATAAGAGTACAAAGGGCTGATCTTAAGAATTAGGAAAAAAGTGTACGGTTGTTCAATGTAAGTTAATC